CGATCCTTAAGCCTCTTGGTGGTGTTCTTGAGTAAGTAAGAAGTTCTTGGTGCTCATTTTTGGTCTTTGTGAAGGAAGAGGAGATCTTGAAGTTGCTTTGCTTGGGGAAAAGGCTTTGGATCCAGAATCATCATCTTGTGGGGAAGCTTTCTGAGCTATAAAGTTTGCATCTTGTCTTGTAAATGTTTAGATCTATTCTTTTGTGCTCTGTTATGTTTTTGGTCCCTTTTTGGGTTGAGGAGAGAGTGAAGATGTTTTAAGGGCTTATTATTTCAAATCTGAGTTTGGTTTGGTCCCTTTGAGCATAAAGGTGCAAGCTTTATGAGATTTTAGGTGTCATGCATGCATTAAGGCAATTATTAAGTCCCTTTTAAGCTTAAAAGCTTCTTTTAGATATGCATGAACGTAAAGTTGGGAACCTTACGTGGTTTTCCAGCTCAAGGAAGTCAGATCTATGTTTTGGGCCTATGTCTTCATGAATTAAGTACTTATTGGTTAAGCCCTTGTACTATTAAGCTTTATGGATTTGGTTTGGACCTTTTTGGGTAGTCCCAATAGATAAAGTTGGAAACTTTATCCTTCTGGACCATGTTATGGAGTAGATCTGAGCTTTGGAGCTCTTGGAATCAGAGAAAACAACTTATTGTATTCAACTATTGAATCTCAGGTAAACACGACATGTTGGCTGGAGTTTTCCCAATTATCTGGATGATGGAAGAACACAACGTGTCCAAGGGGGAACATGGCGTGTTTGCTCAACATGGGCTGTTGAATTTGACTTTGACCAGAAGTTTGATCAGGGTTGACCATGGGTTATGTTGGACTATATTTGGGCCTTTTAGATTGTATGTTTGGGCCTCAGTCTTTGGCCAATCTAGATAAGGGGTAAAAATGGTCTTTTACCCTAAGTATGGATGGAGGATATAGATTCGATTCCAATTGTTAGTTGGGTATTATTGGTTATTGGTAGTTCGGGGGATTGTGAGACCAACTGTCAGGGATTATCAGTGTGATTCAGCAATGCGATGTGAGTCTCCTCGGTATTCTATGGGTCGATGGCACCAATGCCGACCCTATTGGTTTATGTATTGTATGAAGACCAGGGGGTGGCCCTTGACATTTGTATGAAAGACCCGGAGGTGGCTCATGGAAAATCTGTATGCAAGACCAGAGTGTGGACTATGGCAGTTAAGTAGATAAGTATTTGTAGATTGTATGTTAGTTGTCTTTGTGATGCTTGCATGGAAGACCAGGAGGTGGCTCCTGGCACTTGTCGGTAAGACCCAGGGTTTTGGCCCCTGGCCTGGCAAAGAAGACCATGATACGGCTTGTGGCATAATGGCAAGACTATGGTTGGCACATAGCATCTCTTATCGCATGTTGATATGTATGATATGTATGACTTATATGTTATGTATGATATGTGGTATTTTGGGGAACTCATTAAGCTTTGTGCTTACAGTTTATGGTTTATGGTTTCAGATACCTCCAATCCGAAAGAGAAATGCACGGCCTGATTGCAGCGCTTACACCCGTGTTTTCTGCAACTCGTGATTTTGGGAATGTACTCTGATAATTGTTTTAGTTGAAAAACTTCTAAATGTTTGAATAAAGAATAAATGAGTGTTTTGATTATATTAAAAATGAAAGTTTTACCCTGTGATTTTCAGGACATATATATATATATATATATATATATATATATATATATATATATATATATATATATATATATATTGATTTGCAACCACCAAACGATGGGGTTTAGGGTTAAATGGTTGAATAATCATGCTCAAATGTATCGTTAATGAGTAGGAGTTGGTCATACATGCATTCCCAAATCAAGATCTCATCAAATAGATGCTAAAAATCTGATTTTACTTAAAACACCCTGCTAGTTCACCATACTGGCAGTTTTGTCCCTCAAAATAATTTATTTTGCATTAACAAGTTGCAAAGATGACAGTTTCGGTCCTTCATTAAGAAAAATAATTACAAAATTTCCAAAACTATTGCCCAATAATAATAATAATAATAATAATAATAATAATTATTATTATTATTATTATTATTATTATTATTATTTCTGCTATTGAAATAAAATAATCAACTAAAAGTGCGGAAATAGCAATATATATCAAAAAATAGGATGTTAAATTGAAAAATTGAGAGTCGTGTTAACACTTTTAGATTAAAGTATTTCGATGATACAATTGAAATCTTCAATCGGATAAAACTCAATATTATGAATGTTATTGTCCTGTATGTACCGGAATAATGACTAAAACGGGTATATCGACCCCAGCCTAGGGCTCTGCCCCTCGGATCCCACCAAGGATTCCCGCCCCTTTGACTGCGTTACCAGGGGCGCTTCCCCCAGACCCCATGGTTCAAGGGCTTTGCCCTAAATAATAATGTACTTTAAATCAAGACCAATTCAAACAAGTGTACACTCTGCACCATCCTTACTTTTTCAATATTTTTCAAGATTATATTGGTCAACAAATTAATCCTATTACACTGAAATAACATTGACAACATAAATCACCAACAAATCATCCTACCAAAGCTTATTTTCTGGTATGAAGTCATCACCTAACTCCGCTTTAAATGCCGACCAGACCTCGAATAATGCGATATTGTATACTCCAAATTCCTTCTGATGTATTGTCGAAAAAGATTTGAAATTTTCTTCTTTCTCCTTCATTATGATTCCAATCATTTTTCGATAAAAAAAAATCGTTGCAGCAAATTAAGAAAGTATAACTTGTTTGAACACATAACACCCATCGATAAATAAAGACCCTCCTCTTTGCATGGATATGTTATAGTCAACTCACCCTATCTTCTTGCTATCAATATAAAAGTTTCAGGAGACCTAAATTTTAGCGGCACGCCTTCAATACACAACAACACAATATGTTCCATGGTAGAGAAGTCCTCATCCCATTGTTAAATCTTAGGAAAATATATATATATTTCCCTTGTGAACTTTAAAGGCATTCGTAGTTTAGGGGTTAATGAATTCAATAAGACCCATAACACACATAATCTTTCAAGAGAAATCTTAGGGATTCTTACATCTACACACAAGGCGTTTATGTTCAAAAAAGCAAAGACAGATCAAGCTTGAATAACAAGATTTTTCATCAAGCTATTAACCTTATCATAACTTGTTGAAAAGGATAGGGAGAGCATAAAGAGGCTTTGACTCAGGAAAACCTGGATTATCGGTGGCTTATCTGGTTGATTCAAATGCTTGAAACGCCTACTTGCATCCAAGTATCAGGGAGCTCCAGGAATATGTAATGGTTTCCCAGAGTTGACTCAAGAAGCTCTATGAATTACTTGGTTTGAAAAATCCATATAGGATTTCCTATGAGTTGCATCACCTTCCTTTTATGGGCCCGGTGTTCTAGAAACTCCTCTAATATTTTTTTTTCTTTCAAATTTCACTATGGAAACAAACAAACTTTTAACACCAATTGTGATGGAAGATAGTCTTTTTGCAAAGCTTTGCCCATCCATGACTCTAATGAACTAAACAAACTTTAACATCAATTGTGATTGAAGATAGTCATTTTGCAAAGCTTTGCCCATCCATGACTCTAATGAGCTGGGAAAAACCAAATCTCCTTCCATTCTTTCTTGTCCTTTTGGCAAAATAAATAAATAAATAAACACATCCACTTTGTGCTCGTATATCTCAAACGCTTTCCATAAGCTTTGCCATCCCAATCGTCTGGGAAATTTGAAACATAAAAGGTCGGGGTCGCCTTCTTAGGATCTTCTGCACTTCTCTGGTGCCCCCCTTCCTCTACACCACCAATCGACAATTCAAGCTGAATGATACTATATTATTGCAAACCTTCAAAATGGAATGGATCGGCTTAATCAAAACAATATATCTCATGAAAAAACTGAGGATTTCCAAAAATATAATATTATAATTAAGTACGTATGTTTTCATGGGTGGGTGTGTATGTTTGTTTGTGCGTGTGTTTGTGCGTCTATATGTGACCTTGTCGTGTATTTATGGTTGTGTATGTGTATCAAATATAGAAAATACATTATTATTTTTGTTTTTGCGACACGTTGGATTTCTCTTTCCAATGCAATCAATTTTACAAACTATTGTTTAAGCAACATACATGGGTTTAAAACTCTCGTTATGTAAACAAATATAATACAAAATCCAGACAAAGAATTGGAATATATTTTAAAGGAGATGAAATACACCTTTTGAGTAAATCGAATAGACCAAGACAACATTGAACGTCATAATTTCTAAAAATCATGAAGTTCATATCATATGATATCTAATTAGGGATAATGACTTGAAAGGGTAACAAACTTTCGATTTTGTTCACATTTAGTCACTAAACTTTTTTTTCATTATCTATTTGTCACTGAACTATTGAAATTGTTCACATTTTACCCTTATGACCAGTAACATCCGGTCATAAAGGTAAAATGTGAACAGTTTTAATAGTTCAGTGGCAAATAAATAATGAAAAAGAGTTTAATGACTAAATGTGAAGAAAGTCGAAAGTTGGTTATCCTTTCAAATCATTGTCCCTATCTAATTAAGATGATCCAATAGATGAACTTTGGTCTTACCTAAGAGGTATTAGATAGATAAATCCAATAATTCATATCTAATAATGGCATGTGCTCGCTTGAGCAACAATTAAGAAAATACTGAAAACTTCCTTATAAGAAATGAAAACGTGGAAACGTATGAACAATAAAAAAGTAAAAGTTGATAAGCTGATTTACTAATCATACCAGACGCATCCTCATTTCCCATGAACATCAATACTCTCGGCATTTGAACATGAAATCAACGTGGGTTTGTAATTACGTCATATAAAATCATAGAAACGGATGACGTGTCGACACGTAGGATTTGACCGTACAGATCTTATCTTTATCCATAGTAGACAGTACTCCACTTTGTAGTTAATTTCTTCTATAAATCGCTGAGCTTTCTCAACAAGCCCAACTATAACAACTACTACAACTCCGAAAATCAAAACCAATTTGCTTTTTGGGTCAGTGTCAACACTAATGGCGAAACATATTGTTAATGGTGGAAAAGAGATCATTGAGGAGGACGCATTATTTGCTTCATCATCTTCATTGCAGAAGATGCCTCTTTTATCTCTAAATCACGTCTCCTTCATCTGCAAATCCGTTCGTAGATCCGTCAAGTTTTACAGTGACGTCCTGGGATTCGTTCTTATTAGACGTCCTTCCTCCTTTGACTTCGAAGGTGCTTGGTGAGTATGATCTCTTCCGTATTCCTGTTTTTAGTTCATTTCATGCATGGTTCTGGTACAAGTTTCTGATACATTTAAGTAGATCAATTGAAATTATAAAACATAGTTTGAAATGCCTGCTAAATCTTTATAAAAATCTTTGAATGCTCAAATAATGTTGATGATTTGAATCATTTGATAAAGGTTGTTCAACGATGGGATTGGAATACATTTGTTAGAAGTGGAGACGACTCCTACAAAAACAACAGCGATCAATCCAAAAGACAACCACATTTCGTTTCAGTGCACGGATATGGATATCATAATCAAGAAACTTGAGGGATTGGGTATCAAGTATGTGACAGCGGTGGTGAAAGAAGGTGGTGTGGAGGTGAACCAGTTATTCTTCCATGATCCAGATGGTTACATGATTGAGATCTGCAACTGCCATGTTCTTCCTGTACTTCCCATCACCTCATGCCCCCTCAAGAAGCTCCCTGCAACAGCTTCAAAGATCAAAATTAATGGCGGATCCTCCTTCTATGGTACTTTCAAAACCTCACCATAAACACTTCTCTATTATTTGATATATATGTTAATACCGGTAAAACCTTGTTTGTATATATATAACATCAATTTTGAATTGGGCATATTATTAAATATGCAGAGAAAATAAGCTCCAAGAATTACAATTGTGGAGAAGATGAAGCGTTTATGATGGACAATTTTTTAATAGACATGATGGGTATCTCCTTGTAAGATCAAACCAAAGCAAATTAAAGGGTGAGTTGGATTTGAGGAAAAAATTTGTATCGTTTGCCGAATTCTTTAAAAATTGAGAGTTATCAATTTAATATTTGTGTATGTAATTGTGTAATATATATGGCGGAAGAAGAAAAGACAAACCCTTCTGTAAAAATTGCATTTGTTTTCTTCGAATCAAATACGTAAGTAAATGTTAATGTATATATTTTTTTCATCACACCTATTTAAGTCATTCATATAAATATGCTATGCATGTTGGCCTTTTTTTTCTTTGGTGAAATATATTATATATATTTGATTAATCGTTAGGTTTGAGCGATCGATTATTGTTTCTATATTATACAATCATCGTGGATCATGTAGTCCCCCATCCATTAATTATTTGTTTTGATTATTACAATATTAAATGAGATCATAACCACTCTAATAAATGAAAGATACATTTCAGAACTAACAAGAAGACAAACAGTGTTGACGATTGAGTGTACGTTGAATAGAAATATGGCTCCTGGTGGGGAATATTGTGTTGGTTTATGATAATCTTAAAAAACTTCTCTCGTCCGTTTTTTATATTTTATAGATTACCTATTTTTTTTCAAAATTGTTAAAAATTTAAAAACATTACTTCTAGCATGGGTTGGTTTTGGCCTAAAACCGAAACCAAATCGATAGCAAAACCAATGTATTCGGGTTCTGGGTTCGGTTTTCGGTTTTCCGGGTTTGGTTCTGGGTTTGATGAGTTTAAGCTTTAAACCAACCACTTTGAGCCAACTTAAACTTGAACTATCGTATCAAATTGTGCTGAAGTTTTATCTTTATGGTGCGATGTGTGATGGCTTGAATAATAAAGAGAAATCCATTATGTATGCATGGGAATGGAGTGAGGTTTCAATGCTCCAGCGATTTGGGATACTCAATTTGTTATGGTTTTTGCTAAGGTTTCGGTTTTTTAGTTTCAGTTTTGTCGTTTTTGTTTGTTTTTCAATTTCTGGGTTCGGTTTTGCTCACTCCTAGTTTTAGCAACTAACTATTATGTATGCATTTAGGTACTAAATGAAGTTTCTCATTTTGTTTTATGGAAGGGTTGCCACTTACCGTATTCCCAGTTGCCATGCCTTCACAACACCTATATGGCATGTGTTATAAACGATATAGTTTCATACATGTGTTGTAAACGATATAGTTTCATATGTTTTTTTAGTTAATCTAAAAAACATATCATTAATTACCCTTAAACCCTTCATCTTCCATCGATTTTGTTCTTTAACCTTCAACCCTAAAAAGTCCCGATCTCTCCAAAGTCTAGGGATGTAAACCCGCCTGAACCGGACCGGAACTGGAAGAGTTGAAAACCGGTTAAGGAACAAAGACCGACAATCGAACCGAATACCAGTAAACTGGTTCCAATTCGGCTCTACTAGGTTGTTATTATCTAAGAATGTGTACGGTAACAAAACTGGCTTGAACCGGGTTGGAAACAAAAGAATCGAAAATGATGAATTTGGGTAACTAGAAACCCTACTGAATACCACTAATCGGTTTCAGCTCCAGTTCGGTTTTTGTTGGTGATTTGTTTCACTAATGTGATTTAAGTGTAATAGGATTACTTTGTTGACCAAAAGTGATCTTGATAAATATTAAACAAGTAAGGAAGGTGTGGAGTGCACACTTATTTAAGTTTATTCAAGATTAAAAGTAGACTGTCATTTAGGGGCGAAGCCCCTAAACGAACGGGGGTCCGGGGGTAGCGCCCCTGGGAGCGGGGTCCAAGGGGCGGCAGCCCCTGGCGGGGTCCAAGGGGAAGAGCCCCTGGCTGGGATCGAGCTGTATTGAAAATGTATCAAAAATCCAAATTTAGAATATTTGACCCGTTTTTTGGCTTGGTATTAATCCTTATAGAAAACCCAGATTTATGACAGTTTTTTGACTGTTGCCAAACTGTTTTATGACAGTTTTGACAGTTTTCAGAGAAAGGAGGTATTTAACCAATTTTGGTCAGTTTTTCTGGTACTTACGAAATTCAGATATCTCATTCTCTGTTCTTTTCTCTTCTGAGTCTTATCCAATCAAAGATTAGGGAGTACCACCCAATACTTTGATTTGATAGTGAAATCACAATTCTCAGAATATCCATGTGCCTTTATTACCCTGAATTTCTAACAAAAATCAAAGTATTCTGTGATCATGGCAAGTGGCCATTCTGTGAAGGAAATGAAAAGTAAGTTTGAAAAACTGAACAAGTTTGAAGGGCAAGATTTTTGTAGATGGCAGAAGAAGATGAAGTTTCTCCTTACCACTCTGAAAGTGGTGTATGTTCTGAGTACACCCATGCCAGTCTTACCAGAATCTGTTGAAGATGAAACTTTTGAGGCAACAAGAAGAAGATCAAAGTGGGAAAATGATGATTACATATGTCGTGGTCATATTTTCAATGGTATGTCTGACTCTCTTTTTGATATCTATCAAAATTTCGAATCTGCAAAAGAACTGTGGGATTCTCTCGAATCCAAGTACATGGTTGAAGATGCTTCTAGTAAGAAGTTTCTTGTTAGTAACTTTATGGGTTACAGGATGATTGACTCCAGGCCTGTTATGGAACAATTCTATGAAATGTTAAGGATTCTGGGACAGTTTGCTCAACACAATTTGAAAATGGATGAAGCCATTTCTGTGGCTGTGATCATTGACAAACTGCCCCCTTCCTGGAAGGATTTTAAACACAATCTGAAACATAACAAAGAGGAATTGACTTTGACTCAACTTGGAAGCCATTTAAGGATTGAAGAGTCCATAAGGACTCAAGAACTTGACAACAATCCTAAAGGCAAGAACCTCCTCTTCTGTGAACATGGTGGAAGGAGAATGTTCAAAGAATCCCAAGAAGTCTAATGGAAAAAGGAAGTTTAAAGGAAAGGATGACAAGTCTTCCGACAAGAAGACTAAGTTGGTTTGTTGGAATTGTAACAAAGCGGGTCACTTCAAGAAAGATTGTCGTCTTCGCAAAGTGAACAAGGATGGTGCTGGACCAAGTGGATCCAAGGATCCAGAAAAGCAACAAGGTCAGATTTCTGTTTTCATGCAGAATTCTAAATATATTCAGAATTATATTTCTGTGATTTCTGAAGCATTTTATGTGCATGATGATAATGTTGCATGGTGGGTTGATTCGGGAGCAACAAGTCATGTTTCCAAAGATCTATATTGGTTCAAGGGCTTTCAACCAATTGAAGATGGATCAGTTGTGAATATGGGAAATGTTGCAACTGAACCAATCAAGGGCATAGGATCTGTTTTACTTACTTTTACTTCTGGAAAATGTTTGTGTTTAAACAATGTTTTATATGTTCCAGGGATTCGTAAGACTTGTGTCTGAAATTGTATTAAATAACCAAACAAGTGTTAGAAAGTGACATATATCTGACACCCCAAAACCGAATGGCGGGGAAACGTTCTGTGGAGGACGTCATGTTTATATCAAAGACATGCATCATAGTAATCAAAGTATTCCATAATATAGAATACATAACAAATAACGAAAAGACGTGAAGCTATACTGCTCCATCTTCTGAATCCCAGTGTGTGAACCTGTCTACTGGTCTCCTGAGAATACAAGTTATTTTGAAAGCGTAGATCAGCATTTAAGCTGGTGAGTTCATAAGATTTTAGTGATGTAGTAAGTAGTAAGAAAAGTTGTAGAACGTTGTAGTAAGTTGTAGTAAGTTTTAGTAAGTTCTTGTTTAGAAAAAGTTTGCCTGTTCCTCCAGAAAATCCTATATTTCCTGCTTTTGATGAAAGATAAGTAAAAATGACTCAACAGTCCTTTCTATGAGTATTAAACGAATACAAGTTATATAAAACTCAGAGTAAACAAACAATCGGTTGTGTGTATTTGCCCTAAGCCACAACCAAACAAGGAACATGAAATGAGGCGGAAGACACACATCACATTGTTTGTTAGATCATCGTTGTATATAACCTTGGCGTTTCCACTCGGTACTCACGGAGTTAACTGTAATAGTTCCTTTAGTTTGATGAAAAGATTCTTTAAGAAAACCCTTATTTCTTATAATAAAATGGTAACCACAGTAGTTCCTTCTATAATCACTTAGTTTATACTAGTTATATATAATCTAATATCGAACAGATAGTTAATTGTGTGAATCTGCCCTAAACCCACAACCAAACAAGGAACAGGGAATGAGGCGGAAGGCACACATCCAACTACCTATCGGATATTAGTTATATATAACCCTGGTGTATAAACTAAGGTACTATAGAATTAACCACCTAAGGTCCTTTAAGTTTTACTGGTTTAATAAAATGGATTAAACCCTTTACTTGTTAAGTTTCTAGTTTTGTATTCCAAAAGTTATTCATTTGAAAAGTATGTTTTGTACTAGAAAACGGTGCATTGAATTAGTGTCCTATGACCTGACCCATACATGGTACCCCTTATGATTACTTGGTGTATACGGAACATATATATAGCTAAGCTCGGATAGATAGTAGGCTGGGTGTATCTGCTCTAAGCCCACAACCAAACAAGGAACAGGAAATGAAGCGGAAAGCACACATCCTACTACCTGTCGGGCCCGATTAATATATATCCCTGAATGCATACACTAACGAATCATAAAGTTAGCATTATAGATCCCTTTCTACTGAATGTACTAGACTCGACTGTTCTGTGTGTCGTTTGTAAAATGTAAGTTTTTCCCTAGTTTATAACTATCTTGACTCGAAAATAGTTTGTATTAACTTTCAAGTGGAACTGTCACAAATATGAAAGTATTGGAAAATATAAGTACTCAGTTGTCTATGAACTGACAACTGCGTACTTATGATTACCTTAAAACATGTTGTTTTATTAAGGTCATAATGTGATGTGGTTGTACCCATACTATACGCTCTCCCTACTAGAGATTCTGGTACAAAACGCGACTTCACAAACAGATTGCTAAGCCGTGAAGTAGTCTCACATTAAAGTTATATGATCATGTATACCTAATATAACTATCACTAATTGCCTAGAACAATGAGTTAGTGATTCATTGGTATTTTTAGATCCTGTAGTTGTCCCATGCTGCAGCACCTTATTATGTTCGTTCTGTTATAGTATCTTAGTATGTTCTC